CGATCCATCCAGCCTACTTTGCTCCAGATCTCCTTCTCGAGGCTGTGAAGTTGAACGCTGATCGTGATCATTGATCATGGCATCTATTTCATTGTGGTCATAAGAGCTGTACTTCAAAGTCTGCCACAGATACCAAGCACTTTTCTCCATCGCGTCAGCCACATCGTCCAAGTTGGCCTGTCGCGAGTGCTCCATGAACGCTTCGAACCACCTTCCGCCTCCACAAGGCGTGTCGAAGTGATTGCATCCCAGCAGACGCAACAGCAAAGCCGGGATTTTGTGGCCCAGCCGAGGTGCATCAGCACGCAGGTGCCACGCATCATGGTTGACGTTGCCTTGGTTGAAAAAGGAAGCAACACAGTCAACACAGATTCAACATGGTGGCGTTTTGTCATGGAAAATGTGTCCGACCAATACAGACTTAAACTATTGAACCATCCGACAAATCATTGAACATGAGCGAGGCACGATGAACCTGGGAGTATTCCTCAAGGAGTTCTGGGACACCGTGGCGCTCCAGTTTTTTGAACTGGTAGAGGAATTTCTTCCAAAACCACCATGTCGTCTTCTGATCCACCGGCTTTTGCAGCTCGCATGCCCTGCAGCACCACACCCAATCGGGCTCAGGGCCACCGCCCTGTTGCCACCTCCACAACGAATCTGCGAAGAAGTTTTTTGGCAACAGTCTGTCGCATGCCGGGCACTGCATGGCTGAGAGGAAGGCTATTAAAAAGGTCAGTAATTGCCCTAAGCTACAGTGTCGGAAAATGATGACAGTGGAAAGTGTGATGTGTTGAGTGGTTGATGTGGAACGTTGCCATTTAGCTTGAGAACACATGACTGACATTTGTTTGGCAGTGGGCAGGGCCGGTAGCTGACCACAAAACTGCTGCAAATACATGAATCAATGCAAGTTCAAGGTTGCTTGCAAAACATTAGTAAGTCTGAATGTGACAAAGATTCTTGTGAATCTGAATGAACAATTTCTTGAAAGTGAATGAAAAAGAATGTGAACCTGAAAAGGACAGTGAATCTGAATGAAAAAGACTAAGAATTTGTAATGAAGGCCTCTGAATGTGAACATGACTGAAGGCTTCTGTAAAAACAGCCAATTTATCTGAAGCATCATGTCTGACTGACAGTCTGAGTCCGTGACCTGGGGGAGAGCAGAGCGCACCGCCGTGGGCAACACCTTGCAAGCGGGGAAGTTGCATCATCTCGTCACTTACAAAATCAAAGTCAAAAAGCAAAACTGAAAATCAAACTCAGAAATAGTAACTTAACTATCATGCTCAGAAAATCACAGAAACCCAATGATAAAATACTTAATCAGAACATCATAGTCCGAAAATAACTCTGATTCAGAAAATCAAAGTCAGAACATTCGACTTAAATTCAACAAATGCTCTGTCAGAAAATCTGGTTTACAATACAATGTTCAGGCTGTACTATAAAGTGGACTTGTCTGATGTGTGGTTCAAAGCCTCCGACAAGCGGAGCAGATGGCCTGGCCGGACAAGTAACAACGTCCAAGCACACGTAAATTGTTACGTCGCCTGACAGCAAGAAGGTCCTACTGAAGCATCGCCCTTTTTAACGCCTTTTTGAAGCAAGGAGGTCCTGCTGTCTCAAGATACCGGGCCAACAACTTTTAATTGCTAATTCATCATTTGCCTTATCAGCACTCAATCGGTATCGCTCGATGACGGGCTCGTGTGTCAAGCTACCTAGCCCTGATGGCGGTGCATATGTGCATTCCGCGATATCTTCTCTAAAGCCTTGGCCGCGCCAAGCGCAGTCTTCTCTTCAAAGATGATCTTGTGGCATTGCAGGCATCTTTTTTGGATCTTGAAGGCATTCGTTCCGGCCTTGGTTGTGTAGAGGTGATTGCACCCAACCTTGTGATCTGTCCTTTTGATCAGGGGCTGATGCTCTGTCCACGCGAAGAAGTCGCATCGATCTTTTCCTTGCAGAGGGCACATCCAATAAAGTGTTTTTTCGTTGCGGCTCCGGATTGGGCCCCTTTCCGATGAAGACACAGTGGCGGTGTTCCCATCATCAGGTAGATCTCTGGTGTGATCTCTCCACTGGACATGTCTTGGCTCTCTGGTGTGATCTCTCTCTGGTGTGAGCTCTCCATCTCCACTGCGTCCAAGATGTCCCACGAAGCCTGGCTCGTTGAGTCGGAGGGATCCTTGGGCTCGTTGGGTATTCCTCGAAGCTGGGCTTGTAAAGTGCTCTTCTGGTTGAACATCAAAGGTAAGGGTGGCACTAGTCCGGTGACCAAAGGTGTCAAGCGCTTCGTGACATAGATGACCATGGCAAGGATCCGTCGCCACATCTCCATGGGATTGAAATAGGATTCCATAGCTATTGGTGGTGCAAAGCCCCTGCTGGCCTTTAGAGCCAGGGCAAATGCCTTCAGAGCCAAGGCTGTAGTTTCCATTCATAATCACAATCACAATCACAATCACAACGCAACTTGAACATGGTACCCGGAAATGACACATGAGGTCCACCAAGAAGGGCGTATCGAGTTTTCCAAGACCACTGGGCCATGCTGGCGGGGATCAATGACACCTAAACTTGGCTCTGGACCTCCCATGATGTGGCTACAAGATTCTCCTACCCACAGCAGTATGTTGACACGCAATATCAAGAGCAGCACATGTGCAGGTAATCTGGCCAGGGGCGCCATGAGTGTGAATCTCATCAGCTTTGCCGCCACGACTGGGTCCTGCCACAGCAGGCATTCACGATGAATGAAGACTGAACTGTCCACTGACGGGTTTGATCTTCGAATGTTGCTGAGAATCATTGACTCTTTCGTGCATCAAAGGTGGAGGTCCTCCATCCCCCATGTACAGTCGTACCCAGGTTCGGCCGTACATCATCCTATGATGCTACATGTGATCGGTTGACTGACGGGGGCAAACAGCATCATAGGTGAATGTACGGCCGAACCTGGGTACGACCGTGCATCGGGGATGGAGGTCCTCCACCTTTGTTGCACATGAGAGTCACTCAAAGAAATCGAAATCAAAATCTTGGCTGACGGGACATGGGGCCGAACGCAGGTACGAACGACGTGGGCCCGAACGCGGGTACGAACGACGTGGGCCCGAACGCGGGTACGAA